TAAGAATGAAAAGGTAGTTGTCAAAATCAACATCCCTTTGTTAGAAGCGAGACGAGATAATCCAAATCTTCAAACAGCAATTTCCACAACATCTGTCGAGGCCTTTCTGTCTTTATTTCATTTGATTTCTTTTTCACAGCCTCAAGTGGAAAGCAAACCCAACTCTAATGCTTTGCAACCCGAATAAAATATCAGATGAAGTTTCCCAGACCCCAAGCGTTTCTTGGGGAGGGATATGACACCACCCAGCACTGAGCACATCATACCACCACCCAGATCTCTATGGGGGAAGGAAAAATCCCTCGAGGGAGCCTCGAAAGTAGGAGGGTCCCCACTGCAGCCAGAGGAGCCAAATCGGCAGCCAAAATCCTAAAGAAAGGGACTGGAAGCAGCATCTCACGTCTTTTCCATGCCTCCCTCTTTTCCACTCTCCCTCTTCCCCATTCCTCCCCCCCGGAGCTCCCCTTTGAGCTTTCCTTTCTCCCAAACACCTCCCAAATTTGTGCCGTGGCTGAGGAAACACCGATGACTTAGCAAAGACGTAATATGATTTATTTTTGGGTGTCACCGCGATTGATTCCTGCTCTGACCCCTTTTCATTCATAAGCTTCCACACCCCCCACCTCACCCCGTGCCTCAACCTCCCTGATATATGAGTTTTGTATTTAAAATTCAATGTTGCCAGAAAGAGGTTTGGAAAAGATCCGCGAATAGGGAGAGGAGAACAAATCGCCTTGGAAGGAGATCACAGATTTATAAGGCCGAGGAGGTTGTGGTTTGTACTGCTGGAAAAGAGGAGAAGAATAAAGAAAGACCTTTTTCAGGCCCATTTTTTTCCCCCTCTCCTTCTTCTCTAGCATGTATTTGTTGAATAAAACACCGGCACGCATCACCCTCCCAGCGTGGATTTAGAACATGTGCACAAAATCTTCCCTTTTTCCTGATTTTTGCAGTGCAGGATGTTTTAAATCCCAGTGATTGCGACGTGGCCCGGCTGGAAGAGAAGGGAGGAAGAGGAGGAGGAATGGGATGAAGGATGAAGTGGGAGAGAGGCCGAGGAATGTGCGTGGGCTCCTCTCAATCCCCGCGGCCCCTAAGCCTCTCCCAGTGTTGCCTTTGTGTTGTTTTCCATCCCCTTCTCCAACGGTTTCCTTGACGGGAAGGATTTTCGGTGACAAAAATAGAATGGAAAATTGTTAAAATTAGAAAGAAATGTTTTGGTTTCGCAGAAAGAGGAGAAAAAAAAAAAAGAAATAAATCAAACCAAGCTGAAGGAAAAAGCAAACAGAATCATGAAGCAAATATTTCTGACTCCCGAAGCCTCTTGAAATGTTAGTTGGGAGTAATTTCTTTTGTCTCCTCTCAGTGCACACGAGGAGATTATTAGAACCTCATTACCGCAAAGCAAATGGATCAGGAGGGGAAAAAACCCCAAATTTTCTAACAAAATATGTAGCAAGACACGTTTCTCGGTTTTATAAAGACATTTATTTACTCTATGAAAATAATATACAATAAATAATTTGCCCTTTGCTATTAAAGGATTTGAATAAATAGTCTACATCTAAAACTTAAAAAGAGGAAGGAAAATTCCCCTGATTTTTTTTTTCATTTAATTTGTATTAAGAAATCTAAAAGTCTCGTTCTGATTCCTGAGAAAGTCGCTTGAAGGATTTCCAATGTATTTTTTTTTCCTCTTGAGGGCTGATATCTCGATGTGCGTGAGAACTACCGGCTGCTTTTTTCCAATAAATAAGGGAAAAAATATGAAACTAGCATTAAATACCTGCATTTAGAAAAATTCGGGCTGTTCTTTCATGGGAGCCTTCTAGAATAAATATTGGGAGGGTGATTTGGAGCGAGGAGCTTTAAAAGAAAGTGGGTTTGGAGGGGGTGGGATGGGCTGATTAAATGAGAAATGGCTTGAGGTTTATTTTGGGGCTGTCCCCCTTGTCTTAGAGAAGAGCTGGGG